TCCAAAACAAAGCGGAAGGCTCCTAAGGAACAAACATCCAAGGCTGACCTCCGGCCTCCACACACATGTACACATACGTGCATGTCCACATACACGTGCACCTGCACATACCCACATTCAACCAAAAAAGAAGATATTGATATGTACTGTAACAAAACTAGACACAGCTTGAAATGACTATATGGAAACATATTCCACACCATGTGCCATCAGGAATTAAGTTATACAGTCTGGAGAGATGGCTCAGTGGTTAAGAGCACTATCTTCTCTTGCAGAGGACTGGGGTTCAGTTCCCAGCACCCACACAGTGGTTCACAACCTCCTGTAACTCGTGTTCCAGGGAATTGAACACCCTCTTCTGGCTTCCATGGGGTAGTGCATGTATGTGGTACACAAATTCATGCAGGCACACACATATACACATGAAAAAATGCATAAAAATTTTTTTTTGAGACAGGATCTCCCTGTAGCCCCAGCTGGCTTGGAACTCACTATATAGACCAGGCTGGTCTTGAACTCACAGAGATCTGCCTGCCTCTGCCTCCTGAGATTAAAGACATGCGCCACCATGCCTGGCCTGCATAAATAAATCTTTTTAAAAAATCTAATTACATTTTCTGACCATCTCTCAGATTGCCTTGTAAGCAATCACTGGGTGATGTGCTGTAATTCTTTTTCTACAATCATTAAGTTGAAAGAAATCCTAACATGAAATGATAGTAGTTAAAAATATACTTTTGAAGATGTTTTAAGTTGACAGTAAAATTGAGCTGAAGGTTATTAGCAGAAGGAAAGCTATTACAGTAGTGATAAACAGTGCTGAACAATACAGATAATATAAGCATATTTATTGTGATGGCTTATCTTCATTATCAACTTGGCTTTTTTCTTTAAATATATTTTAAATATTTCATTTATTTTTCTATGTACAAGTGTTTTCTGGTATGTATGTATGTAAGTACACCACATGCATGCAGTGCCCACAGAGGCCAAAAGAGGGTGTCGGATGTCCTGGAACTGGAGTTACACACAGCTGTTAGCTGCCATGTGGGTGCTAGGAACCAAACCTGGGTCTTCTGCAAGAGCAGCCAGTGCTCTTAACCGCAGTCATTTCTCCAGCCCCTTTGACTGGATTTTAAAAGACACACAAAATTTGGGCATATCTGTGAGGCTGTTTAACTAGAGAGAAATGAACTACCCTGCCCATGGGCTGAATGCCCCGACAAATAAAAGTGGGAAATAAGCAGGAAGGGGAGCTGAGCACCTGCACACCCCTCTCCCTCCCTCCATTCTTCCCTCTGTCTGTCCTTCTTGTGTATTCCAGGCTGTCCTTGAACTTTCCATGTAGCAATGGATGAGCTTGAACTTCTAAACCTCCTTCCACGACCACACACGTGCTGGCATCGCCAGTGTGCCTCGTACTAGGCTGCTGACTTTGTTACTGTAGCCTCAGGAAGCTCAGATCTTCATGGAATTGATGGAGCTGTTGTCCCATATTGTTCATAACATCTGTCTGTGCTCAAACAGATTAGGATTCTCTCAACTTCAAGTGGCAGCTCCATCCAACCCTTTAGTGAAGTCATTGGAAGTACAGGTTTAATTTCTTTGGCTTATTTCATTTTACTGAGCTTTCTATTCTTTTCTTTCTTTCTTTCTTTTCTTTCTTTCTTTCTTTCTTTCTTTCTTTCTTTCTTTCTTTCTTTCTTTCTTTCTTTCTTTCTTTCCTTCC